GGGGGGAAGGCTGGTGCATACCGGCATGGGGCAAACCGACGCCCCTGCTGGTGATAGTATGAGCCGAGGAGGGCGCGGGTGTTGTCGATCGCCTCGTCTGGGGCCACCGAGTCGTAGGCGGCGGCGATCGGCGGAACAGGAATGTCCTGGACTGCGGCGGGCGCCGAGTGAGATGGAGTGAGTCAGCGGGGGCAGGCAGGGGAAGGGGGAAAGGGGGAAAGCTCCCAGACAAGGCTGCGGGGGGGCGGGGGAGGGAGAATGGCTGGCCTGCAGGATGCATACCCCTCAGGACGTCCGCCATGGACGAGAGAATGTCAGCGACCTCGGGGGCAGGGGCCACGGCGTCAGCGACAGCCGCGGCCTCGGAAGATGTGGCCGCGTTGAGGGCCGCACTCGCCGGGGCCGACGTCTGGGGCTCAACCAGGCCCGACAGCTCGCCGGCCAGCGACGGGTATGCAACCGGACTGAGCATCACCGGCGGGGGGTGGTACTCCAGAGACGTGTTCACGGCATCGGACGCGGGGGCCGGCGTGGCAAGTGGACCGACCGTGGCGGGATCGGCGACGAGATCGACAGCAGGATCGACGGCGGCCCGGGCGGCGGCCGGCTGATCGATGGTCCCGGCGGGCGGCGGCGCGATCGGCTGGAGGCCGGCCAGCTGGGCATTCAGATCGCTGACGGCCGTCAAGCTGGCCGACTGGTCGGCCGGGCTGGCCGAGTGGACGAAGGTCGCCAGGCGCTCAAGATCCGCCGCGTCTTGCGGGACAGCACCCAGATCGCGGGGCGGCTCGGTGGCCCGATCGTCAGCCGCTGGGGCCGTGCGACGGACCGAGGAGGGCCGCGAGGCCTCCATCTTTGCACGGCGAGGGGGGAGGAGGGGGCCGTGAAGGGAGAAAGAGGAGAGGAGGAGGAGGTATGGGGGGGGGAGGGAGGGCGGAGGAAAGGGGAGACAGGGAGGAATGCATATGTATCGAGATCTGCCAAGCCCGAGGACCCGTGGGGCTGGCTCTAAAGGCGGGAACTGCCAGGGGCGACGATGGCAATCGCAGAAAGAAAAAGAGAAACAAAAAGCAGCACGGGCAGAATCCGGCCGGCCGCCGGCCGCCGTGAAACCAGCGAGCGGCGGGAGGTGCCCACCGTCCAGCAAGCAGGGGCCGGGGGCCACCCTGGGCCGGGGATATCGGCTGGGGGAAGGAGCGCAGGGGCAGGGGGACAGGGGGGGGGGGGGGGGACGGTGGGAGGCCTGTGGGCGCACCCCCCCGGGCAGTTTCCCATTCCGGTATCTGCCGCGTCTCGTCCGGCCAGAGGGCGGGAGAGAGGACGAGCGGAGGGCGCGGGCGCGGGCGCGGGACCCCCGGAGGAAGCCGGGAGCATCGAGCCCAGAGGCGCGGCCATCGGCCGATCGTGGCCGATCACACGGCCGGCGCGCCTATCTCGCCCCGCCGCCCTGGTCTTGGTGTCTGCCCCTTGTGCAGGGGAGAAGAAGGGGCGAGGCACGCTCGGAGCAGCCTCGCCACACGCTCCCCCTGGTCGCCGGTCGCACCTGCGAAGCAGCCCGCGGGTGACACGGCGCTGCCGTCACCATTAACTCAGGCCGCGGGGATGGGGAAATATACGTGGGCGCCTCGCGTGATGCGCATGTGATCCCCGGACCTGCCCGGAAATGTGCCCCGGTTTCTTGGCTCGCCCGGCTGCCCGGCTGCCCGAGACCGGGGCGGCGGCCGAGGCGGCTTCTTCGACGCCCTGGCTTCGGCTGCCTGTCCCTGGCGGCCTTTGTGCTCTCGTCGCTGTCTCCTTTCTTCTGGCCCGTGTGTCCCCCCCCCCCCCCGGTAGTCAGCCATCCTTCCCTCAATGGGGCGGGGGGGATGGGCCCGCTCGAGGGAGGGACCCGGGGCGCCGCCTTCCCGGGCGCGCCTCCCTCGGCCGCCGCTCTTGCGCTGGCACCGGCGGGGGACTTTTTCCAAAGCCATGGCCCGGACCGGGCGCTCACCTCCGCCGGGCCCATTTCCGTCCTGGGGCCAGGACCGGGAGCGGGGGGGACCGGTGTCCGCTTTTTGGCCTCCCGCCCCCCAGTGTATGTGCACGAACCGTCGCACGAACCGTCGCACGACGTAGCTTCAGGGTGGTTCCGTCTTGTGGCGGCTGTGTTCCGGCCCTGGAGCTACCCAGGGCCAGGCCCAGGAGGGGGGGCTCGCTGCTTTCCGCAGGCAGCCCCGGTCCCCCTCCCCGGGGGGGGCGGGGGCGGGGACGGGGACGGGGCGCGCATTCCCCTCGCCTAGTCCGCTTCCCCACCGGAACCCGACCGGAGTGGGGGGAGGGGGGACCGGGGGAGAGAGAGCCGGGGCCTGTCTCCGCCCCCCCCCCCCCCCCGGCCGTGAGAGAGAGAGATCCAGCGCGAGAAGAGGCAGCGCCCCAGGCCCGGAGTGGGCTGGGCGCACTCTCAGTCCAGCAGAGCTTTGTCTTTCCTCCCCTTCCCCCTCTCCCCCATCTTTCTACCCTCACTGTATGCCTTGCCGCCGTCATCTGCACTCTGCGTTCTTCCCCCTGTCGACTTACGCCTGTGCCGCGCCTCTCTCCCCCCCCCCCTTTGTCCTCCCCCTCCCCGTCCGCCCCTGCCCGTCTTCCC